CCCCAAAACCCCAAAACCCCAAAACCCCAAAACCCCATAAAATAATAAATTATTGAATTTTTAAAATTTTCAAATAGCCATTTTTACTCTTGCAGAAATCAAAAGGAAAGGTGCATCCAAGATTGAGTCCAAGAAGGGCATCATGATTGGCAAGTACCGATCAAGGGCTTCTTTATCTAAGGCTAAAAAGTCCATTAATAACTCAATATTATCAGGAGTGTAAGCAAAAATTTTCTTTTTCTATTATATATTATCTGAATTCCTAAAAATTTCCCATAAAATATCAGCTACAAAATGATATTTGTACTCTGTTTCTGACGGAATCGTATAGTTACACTCATAAAAGAGGGGAATCGGAGATCAAATTAGAACTGCCGAAGATAAAGTACCCAAAAATGTTATAATCTATAGAAAAGCGAACCTCAAGCGGAATAACAACAAATCCTTCCGAGACCACGAATATCATGGCAATAATGCTAGCTTGAAATAGAATAAAAGCAGAGAATTTTATAAACTCTCGTGTTATGGTCAAAAAGCAGGTTTAATGGTAAGTATACATGATGATATCCTCCTAGTCTTGGGACCTGTCATCATGACTAAAAGTCATTGGGAACTTCCTTATGATAACACTGCAACAACTACTAATTCTATCCAACAGACTTTTAACACAAGTTTTACGAATAAAACTAAAATAAAAGACAGGAAAACTAGGCTTGGTAGGTCTTGATTGTTGAACATTTAGATCGTGATTATAGTCAGGCCTCTGAGGCTAGTACGCTGAATCTTTTCTCAGGTGCAAACTTCTCGAAGAACAAGTATTCTAAGTAAGCTCATTCAGTAAAATACCAGCATTTGTTCAACCAACATCAGCCTGGATTGAGGAAAAGATATCAGTATTGGGAAGGTTAATTTTAAGAAGAAGATTAATAAGAAGTTAAGCTTGAAAAGCCAACGGTTTATTTGTGATAATACCAGGAATAAGACCCCATTACAAGCCAATTTCAAATCAAGGAACTCTTCTTTTCTGGACAAGTATAAAGATCTCACGATGAGCATATATGGCACTGGGATTAAGAACAGGAGTAAGAGCAAAAGCAAAGTCTTTAGAAAGTCAGGTAAATTTTAGAGTTTTTATTTAACTTTAGATAATTTTTACAATCATAATACGACTAAAAACTCTAAAGCAGAAAATAAGGTGTGAAGTTACCCTAACCGAGCCAAGAGTATGACTTCCCTCATTTTGTAGAGCTCAAAATTGGATCTAGGCATAGTAACTTTAGGTGAACAATCCTCAATAAAAATAAATAGTAAAGAAGTTTCTTTAGAAAGAAAGACTGAATGCAAGAATATATCTCTGAAGAGTTTCAAGCATCTTAAAAGCACTGTATCTTCCAGGAACTTTGAAGACCCCTCTAATCGAGAGAGTCTCGGAGAGGATAATTTCAGGATTGTTAGGAATTTACAGCCAAAATAACCTAGAGGTAATTCATGAAACTAGGAAAATGGTCCATCACTCGAGTGCTGAGCTCATGGACACAGTATTGAATTTGCAAGATCAAATCTCAAATTTAAAACCAGTGGAAAACCAGTGCTGAACCCTGGATAGCACCCATAACTTTGAAATTGGAGGTAATTTAACTCTTGAACGTCTATCTAGAATCGATAAGTACACTATGTAATAAGCTAAATACGAATTATTGAGCAGTAGAGCATTGAGAGTTATTACCTAATTACAAGCCATCAAACTTTCCTCTAAAGCCAAGGTAAATTTCCCTATAATACTGTAGTAAATATGAAATCAAATGGATCTCACCGTGCCTTAGTGTTACTAAGGCAGATAATTGCTTGCCAAAGCTTGAGAAATTTCAATTTTAAGAATAATTGTTGGCATTTGATATTAAAAACAACCCATTTTCAATATTTTCGATAGAATTTGGGGTTTTGGGGTTTTGGGGTTTTGGGGTTTTGGGG